TCATTTGGCGACAGACAAAACTCAGAAAAGTTACGTTGATTTATGCGGACGTGTGACGTACTGCTGCAGAGATTGTTCTCTAGACGGAAACACGCCACATCCTCCAGTATAGCGGCCAATCATTCGTGACCGTTTGCTTAGTGTAGTTATGCCAATCTATTAATGCTTAACCACTTAAGTGGCCTCTTTTCTCTGCACGTCTTGAAGACGCGTAAGGTAGTGTATAGTCCCGCTGGTAGTAGACTTGGGGTGGCCTACCATCTTCCGGATATCGTACATGAATTTATTTTCTCACTGGAACTGCTGAGTTTTAGTTGGGGGTGGTAAAGCGGTATAAATGATCGCCACCGGCTAACGAACTCAGCGGTAGGCTGCTTAGATGTAGCCTAGGCTAATACCACACCTATTTTATTGAGCTATATGTAGTTAACCACATTAAGCCCAACGGCTTATTTTGCCGATCGCCATGAATGCACATGAGACGATGCGGTTTACCTCTTTCACTGTTCATCACACAATACGGTGTAATAAAAATTTTACTATCTCTAAATAGACAAACGAAGGTGCAAAACCAAATGATTCCCATACGAGACTTTATTTTTTTGGCGATAATAATAATAATAATTATTATTATTAGTAAATATAACGCACAATGTACAGACTAATCCTCGAGCAAGGTACTATACTACGAATGTGTACAGAAGGACTCGAATGAAGGTTAACCGTTTCCTTATTTCCAACACAGATTAAAACAAATAACCAAGGTGATCCATGGTGCCTATAAAGCTGACGAAACGGATAACATACCGACGATTGGCCAAAACTGTATAGACTGAGGACACACAATCAGCCGGGGCTTGAACTTCCACAAAATAGTAGGGTTCCATTAGTCGCGGTGTGGCCATGAGAAAAGCCGAATAAGCCACACGTCGAGCAGTCGGGATAATCTGACCGGAACCACGCTGATGTGCTTCACCCGAGATCAACGCGTCCAGTAACTTGAATTTCACATTTCGGATGGGCTCGTCACACAACGGACCCTCGCGCGTGCCCCATTGAAAACCCTGAGAAAGGGGGCGAACAGACAAAGAATATCATAACGGAATGCTTACCATAGGAATCAGAAAATGGCCCGTTTAACCCTCTCCTTTTCATGTTTGTCTGTCTAATGTCCTTTATGAGGAACTAAACGGAGGCGTTTAAGCAACTAAAGGGACCGCCAATAATCGATAAATCATTGTTTACACTCAACCACAATCCAACCATCAGAGGTCATAAGCTGAAATTGATGAAGCCACGGGCTAATGGGAGTGCCACGGCGCAATTTTCACCTACTGTGTGGTAAACGAATAGAATAAATTACCACCCACGATAGTAGCAGCGATCTTTGTTGCTCAATTCAAACGAAGGGTAGACAACTGTTGAGACGAGATGTTCCTGGAATATGACTAGCGGCAGGCTCACAGTTACTAAAATCTCTCTGACTCAGTTCTTCCTCTATCACACTATCACTCCTGTACACCACCCACCGCACACACGACAACCACAATACCTCACAGCCCCCGGGTATCTCTCACGGTAGGTGAAGCAGTGCTGAGGTTTCTATCAAACGATTGAGACTACCGATTACCCGAGGGTGATCCTGCTTTTCATCTTTTTTTTTCTTGTAGGTACAACATCCAACACACAGCGGTAGTCGAAGCATAGTGGGAACCGTCAACTCATAAGTGCAAGAACCTGGACGTCCCCTGACAGAAGCTTACAGTCCAGTGATCTTACCCGTTAATTTCTTTCTCTGGACCTAGTGCAGCTGGTATCGGTCAGACGATAGGAATTGTCAACTGGGAAGTTGTACTTGAAGAAATCACCCTAACCTCTCTCCCACACTTGATAGGTCGTCGCCGAGTGCAATGACACCTATCCGGTTGGAGTCTCTTCCGACTGGCAAGTTCAAGTTCTAATTTCCAGTAACCATTAGGGATAAATAATTCCCAGAATGGTATCAGGTTTTGATAAATGTGCGCTCAAATAACCTGCTATAAAAAGGTTCATACTTACTTGAACGATATAATCTTTCACGGTACCCAGAAGTCCTTTATCAACTTCCGATGGTAAGGTGTCATCTACCAGGATATTTGGACCGGTCGCATCAGGCCCGAATGCCCAAATGGATCTATACACAGAAAAAGAAGTAGCAAATACAAACAAAAACGGAATGGTTCACCTGGAGTTGACCTTACAATTTCAAACGAATTATTTAAAGGATAATGGTCAAACATACTAAACGACAGAGAGGCCAGAAAAGTCGATTGACCACGTCACAATTGGTAACACAGTGGGCCGTGTATGGTGCATTCAGTGACACTTAGCCTGCGACAAATCTGTACACTATTAACAAAGGTTTCCAATACTAATTAGTCTGAAAAAGAAACAATGCTAAATAGGTGCATCAAACTAATTTAATCATAGGCGGGGTCTATAGAGAGGCCATAAGGAAAGGAACTGGTTACTTTCGGCTGGCGCACAACAGGTTAGACAATGGTCACTGATGAGTGCCTTGCCATTAAGGGATAGTGACAGTGGTTCAAACGCGTAGCGTGCGGAGTCATAAAATTTTGTGTCTGTGTTCTAATGGTAATAGATCCGTTCAATTTACATGGCTAAACTTTCCCAGAAAGGACGTAGTAGGTGTACAATATAGGGATCACAACGACCGCAGGTCTTAAAGTGATTGATATCAAATAATTCCCCTTTTTAGAGCTTACTCTCGAAAAGGAGTTACCCTCAAATGCGAAAATACGTTCACGTTCTCAAGTGATTATATTACCCTCTCCCATTCCCGAGAGCAGCCCCTCCTTTCGAATGAACATGATCATCGGATTGTGCACCTTCAGTTCAGTCCGCTTACAACATAAGCGGCGGTTCTGGTTGCCATCTTTGACTGTTTATTTGAATAAAGAGCAGGGAGAAATACTGGGTAAAGATACAGAAGGTAAACTATTAAACTATATCCGCGGGTAAACTAAGATGCACGACCACTACTGTTCACGTTCGAGACCGTGAGATGACGAATAGCGAGACTACTCAAGGAGATCGACGAATGGGATGGCAATGGGTCTGAAGAAGGTAGCGTGACTTTTATGCATGCTCCGGGGACATCATGCGTATACAATGACAATTAAAAGAGTATATTGGTTTGGTCAATCCAGTGGCTTCTAATTTGCTTGTCTTACTAGAGAAATTGAAGGGATGTAACCTTTACATCGACAGAAAGTGCACCTTCTTTCTATGCTAAATGACACTAGCAGGCCCTTCTGTTGACATAATTAAAAAGTGTGACACCGTTAACATTGTAGATGACATTATTCAAAAATTAATTATACGAGATGCTCGTAAACTGATAAGTTCCCGTAAACAGTGGTGAAAACGGTCAATGAAAAAGAGCTTTCGAAGTTTTACTGATCCCGAACAGATTGTTATTAATTTGCAGAAAATTGGTGCCTTCGTGAAGAGTTTTCGAATTCAGGATACGAAGTTCGTGGAGTACCTATACCAAACCTGAGGGTTTTCTGAACAAAAAATAATCCATTTGATACGTGCAAACCATCCATAAGGTTCAATCAATTATTATGGCCCAATGGTCTCGTTTCCATGGGGGTCTTATTTTACCATCGATAGATTTTGTTGGACAAAAAAACCCGTGCTCAGAAGATACACAAAATTGCACCTATGAGGACCAGGTGGATGAGTGTTGAAAGAATCCGGTTAGAACAAAAATATAAACTCAAAAGCTGGGGGAACTTATTGAATTTCTTTAGCAGCGCGCATCCGTCAGTCCCATGCTCATCATTTCTATAAATGATGAATTTTATTCAATAAGAAATAGTCATTTCATACATAGGTTTGGAATGCTTCTGGTTAAAACGATGCAGATTACAGCTTACAATGCGGTTGTGCTACTGTGGACTAACGTGTGTCAACTTAATCCCAGCTCAAGCCACGGACACGTCACATTATATACAATTCATTCTCAATCGACAGCAAGACCATACACGAGAAACAGTATTGGCCCAGCTCTCACCAATGAAGTTGAAAATGTATAAATGAAACACTTCTTCGTTGTGCTGGTTCACATGGATGGAATTGATGGTCTACATCGATCGATGGTTCTGTAGATGGGTTTTCTCAAAATCGAAATTATAGTTAGGCACAGATTGCAGGTGGCACTGTTGGCTTGTTTTCATTGTAGGGAATCCAGTTTTCTTGAAATACATTGTTGTGCTCCTCCATGTATCTTCTGTTACTAAATCACGTTGTCTGCAGCCAAACCGAAGGACATATTCGAAGAGTATATTTTCAATCCCAAAGAGCATACCAGCATATATTGCATCGCGTAAGGGTACTTAACCGCCATTCACTGTTATTTACCTGCTCTAATATATCCTCCTTCTTTTTCAACTTTACCTTAGATAATACCCTACGAAGCAATTCTTCTGAACTAAAATCGGGTGAAGTAGAGCTCCTCCCGGGGAACCGAATTGCCTAAGGTATGATGACACAGGTGAGCTCGGTGAAAAGACGAAATCTCTGTAAGCTGTGCTGGACAAGTTGGTTCGGTACGGTATGGCCTTTGTTTGACCCAAGTTCAAAATGTTTTTTCAAGACTACCGAGAACTTGCTTGGAATCATTGTTGGTGGTCAGTTGGATGTAATGGACAGTTGTTAACAACCGGTTTTGTTCAAACACAAATGAAAATACGTCGGAAGAATAGTCAAACTGAACTAATAGCGGGGGCTTCACAGACGCGGGAAATAGCAAACTGTTCCGATTTTGATCGATACGCATGCTTTACATTTATATATTTTACCACCTGCATGTAGACAAGCATGGTGCCAACGCTACAACAACAATAACAATAATAGGGAGTGGGTGGATTAGGGTGCAGAAAAGAATGAAAAGAGGGTGAAACAGTTAAACAAGGGAAAATGGAAGATAACTGGGATAACAAAATTTTGTGTTTCACCGTACACTTTTTGAAATAATTTTATTGTGTTGTTTTTTACGGGGCACGGGATTTCGACAGGCAGACCGTACAGCATTCGCGCCACTGACTTCTATTCTGAGTCATGTCTCTCAGCATCTCTAACCAACGACAATCCTCATCCCTTGGGCCCCAACCTGGAAGGCGGGCAGCACCAACCGAAGTCAAAGCTGGAGCCAGCTTCTTCATGCCTCTACGCCGTCATGGTCTGACCGCCGCGCCGCTTCTTCCAGCCTTACCCGGCACGTGCGAAGAGAGCACGGGAAGGTAGTCGATGGGCAGGCATACGCAATACGTGACCAAGCTATCGGAGATGGTGTAGAGCGATTGGTTTCGTTAGAGAACGACTATCCGCACCTAACACACGACGACGGACATCGTCATTACTCACCCGGTATTCCCACCAGACTCGAGCAGTGCTCCGGAGACATCGATGGTTGAATACAGAAAGTCGGTTAGCATCCTTAATGCGGAGGGGTCAGGTCTCGCAACCGTAAAATAGAACGCTATGAACCGCGGCGATGTACACCCGTCCCTTGATGGACAGTCGGATGTCATGGCGGGGCCACAGGTGTCGCAGGTTGGCGAAAGCTGTTCTAGCTTTCGACATTTGTGATGTGATCTCGTCCCCAATACCCCCACCAGCGGCGATCAAGTTCCCGAGGTAATTTAAAGCTCTCAACTACTTCCAGCTGATCACCACAGAGGATGATTGAAGGCACAGGCTCCTGCCAGTCTTGAACAAGCACTTTGCACTTGGAAGGTGCAAAGCACATACCATACTTAGATACCTCAACCGCCAAGCGGTTTAAAGCCTATTGTACTGCCTGCGTAATGTCACCCAGCAAGGCGATGTCATCGGCATATTCTAAGTCAAGGACTCTGGTCCCTGGGAGGGGTTCGACTCCACCGTTTGCTAGACCGGACAAAGCATTCTGTAGAACACCCTTTAT